AAAAATTTTTAATTTAACAATTTAAAAAATTAAATTAACATAAACAATATTACAATAAATTTAATATATTATATTTAATTACATCATATAAAGATATATTATAGATGATATGATGAAGTATAAGGAATGAGAGATATAATTATTCAAAATTTTCTAATATTTTAAGACAATTAATATGTAGCATAATGTAAATATAAAGTTATATGCTTTGTGAATGTGTACACATTCATATGTCCGTAAAGTGTACAGATGTATTTATTCAAGACTATTAAATATCTCTTGTGTATTTTGATGGGTTAAAAAGCATTTATTTAGATACCTTAACAGAAATTATAAGTCTAATTATAAAAAATACATATTTAGTTATTACTTATGTTTATTCCATTAGAATTGTACATTATATATTATTACTTATAATTCTGTAATACAATTTTTTGTTTCTTTAATAAATAATTTACATATTTAGTATTTAAAATATTTTCTAAATTAGTATCATTGAAACAACATTTTTTTTTGTAATTGATATTTTGTTTTAATTATATTTAGAACCTCTATATATTTTTTGTTATTGTATTCTATCATGTCATCTTTTAAAGAACAATTAATATAACTTTTTTGTTTGATGTAATGAAAACAAAGATTTAAAAATTTTGATTTTTCTCTATAAAAGGAATTATCATCATGATAAAAAGGATTTTCAATAACAGTATTACTATCAAAATATTTAATATTATGAGTGAATAATTTTATGAAAAAAAAATTCATATCACTATTTGTAGGAAAATTTAGTTTTTCAAGCATCACTTCTGATAATAATTTTTGATATATATGTTCATTATGCTTTAAAATACTGTATTCACTATTAATTGTCTCTAGGACATATGTTTTTAAATTTTCTGCAATAATTTCACGTATTTCCGCAATTTCATCCTTCAGTAAAATTAAGCAACAATGTAAAACAGTCAATTTATTTTTATTTGTTAACTCTGAAAATCTATAAATCGCAAATTGTATAAATTCAACTGCAATTTGTCTCATATATTCTTCTTCGTGAATACTTAAACTAAGTGCATGAGATATTATTTCATTTATCATAAATTCATTTCGGGAAAAAATTATTAACACACATCTTAAAGTCCATAAATCAGAATATTTTTTAATTCTAATTTTTCATTAATAAATTTTTTATTATATTTTCAATGTCTAATTCATTTATATCAAGTAATGGTAAATGTTTTAATGTCTTTAAAACATAATTTATCATTGCTTTTAAAAGTAATTCGTTATGAATGATAAATTCATCAGATGAGAAATATTTAAGGACAATCTTTAAGATTGAAATGCAATGTGACACATGATTTAAAAAAGAAATACTTTGATCAATGCAAGGAGAGTTTAAAATTTTATGTAAAATATCAATATCAATATTTTTTGTTCGATTTATATAATCAACGTATAACTTTATAGAAACATCGATAAATTGAAAAAATCCTGGTTTTATCTTTTCAGAAGAGAGTAAATATATATTTTCGTTAAAAGTAAATATATCTTTATCAGATATCTCATCGGAAATAAATTTGTTTAATTCTAAAAATAGCGTTTCTAATATGTAACAAATCTGTAAATTATTTTCTTCTTTAGACACATTGCTCCAAAGTTGTAATATTTTTTTATATCGTAACAGTTCTGTAGATTTCTTTAATTCATGATTTCTATATTGTTTAACATCTAAATATGAATTTATATTTTCAACTTCAAAAAATAATTTTTCTTTCAAAAATTTCATAGTTAATAAATAACCATGGATTAAATTAATATTTTTACATGAAGAGACATTGCACTTCAATTTCTTAAATTCAAATTCAATTTGTAAAAAATTTGTTAATGCTGCGTATGCTTTTGCAGCTAAAAGTCTAACATATAAAACAGGATTTTCAAGTAACATAAAAAGTAATATTTTAATTTTGATACATATTTTTGTGAAGAATAATCAATTAAATTGCAAGCACTACTTGAAAATTTCGAGAGAAGTATAAGAATATGTACGATATTCGAATGTAAATATAAAGTAGTAGAAAATCTTCTAAATGTGAACGAAAATTTATATAATTCTTTCATAATATGATCTGCAAGCACAGGATAATGTGTAACAAAATGATTAATTGAATAACCATTTCCAAAATCTAATGTATCATTATAATTTTGTCCTGTTAATCTTGAAATTATAGCACCAAATAATTGTAGACTTGCATTTCTGATAGTCCATATTTCAGATTCTAAATATCTGAAACAAGTTAATGAAATTTTTTCCATGTATGGCATTAATTGTGCATGTAATTCTTTATCAGCTACTAAAGTCTTTAAAAAATGCAAATATCTTGCCCACGGAGAATCATGTTGAGATTCTATGCTTTTTAAATTTATGTCTGAAATATTATCAAGCAGATCTAATAATTTTTGTACTGCAAAATGTAAAAGAGGCTTTTCTCGTCTATCGTCACTAACAACTATTTTATAAAACATTATTGATAATCCAGCAGCCCTTCTTGTAATATTTAAAGAATGCATAGAATCATTTTCCATTATACGTAATATGTATTTTTTTGGTAAATTAGAATATTTAGCTTGTTTGCATAAATATCTGAAATTAAGAAAATAAGATAATTTAATTTTTTAAATTAAATTATTAAATTAAATTATACCTTGTTAATTGTGCTATTGCTGTACCAGCAGCTTCTACTACTCCTTTATGTCTACATCTAAGTAATACAGTAATAATAATATTAGCGGAACGTTTAATAATATCATAGGAATACATTAATATACCTATTTCGCAAGCTATTTCACAGGATACCTGAATAAAAAAAATCATTATTTTATTTTTATTATACATTTATTTGTTGAAAAAAATAAGATTTTACAATAAAGATTAAGATTTTTACCTTTAAAGACATCCAAATGCAAGAAATAAGTACTTGATGTGCAGGAGTTAAACTTAAATCATCAAAATTGAGATTGTTTATTTCACTATTTCTAATTGTTTCATTAATCGCTAATCCCATTTCCGCAAATGATGATGAATATTCTATAGATTCAATTACAATTTCATTCAAAAACACAAACATTTTTCAAATAAATTTTAATTGAAATAAAATAAAATACCTTATTTTCAGATTTTGAAGAAAATATATATAAAAAGAAATCTATAGCATCTTCCAACAGATATAATATTTTTTCAATAAATTCGATACTTATATTAAAATTTTCTCGATTATTTTGAAAAGTAATATTTAATAAGGCAGTCATCATACCATAAAATGGTTTATTCTGAACAATTGCCTTTAATATATCTTTTTTCATTTGCATTAATTGACTTGCAGCTTCATTATATAAGAAATATGAGTATTTTAAATAATTATTACAATCATTATGTAAAAAATTCAGAGGCAACCACATTATTAAAATTGATATAAGAGCTGCACCACTTTCAATTTCATAGAATTTAGGAGAATTGCAATGTTTTAATGCCGTATGAAATAATATCTAAATTAATATTTTTTTCATTAAAGAAAAAACATTGATAAAATATCAATTAAACGAAAGATGAATAATTTCTTACCTCTTTTTCTGTATCAGATAAAATATTTTTATCGAAATAATTAAGAATAATAGAAGTAGATAATTGTTTAACATCAAGTGTAGAGTCTAGTACAAGTTTTAATAAAATAAATAAACTTTTTCTATTTGTAAATTTCCAATTTTCAGTTGTTATTAAATTTTTTTTCAGAAATAACATACATGAAATATTTTCTACATTCTTAGACTTATTTATAATATATTCATCAGTAAATGAAAGTATGGCTTTATATAAGTTTAAACCAAGAATTTTTCTTTGATAACAAGAACCAATTTCAAAACAATCTAAAAAAAAATTCGTGCAACCAATTTGTGATATAATATATATCATATATAGAATCTGGATTATTATCACACATTTTTAAAATATTAATGTAAAATATTTTAAAATATTTTACAATTCCATTTCTCATGTAAATTGTTGTGCTATTTGCATTAAGCCATAGAAAATTTCTTGTTATAAAAAATTGATCTTTATTTTCCTTATATAATTTAATTATTTCATAACAATTTATGGCAAATCCATTCAATCTTACAATTTCATTATTATGATTTATATAACATTCAATGCCTGCTTGTTCTGGAAGATCAATATGCATTTCACAAGCTATTTTTTGAAGATGTGAACGTAAAAAATGTTCTTTTATATCTATGATAAAATTCCATAAATAAGGTAAAAGATTTCTGTACTTTTTAATAATTGGTTCAAGCCAATGCTTACAAAGTAACTGAAGAGCATTATGATTTTGACTGTAATTAAATATCCATTATTTAATTATATATTTATACTTCAATTTTTTATTAAGTTAAGTTATTAAAAATTTAATAAATCAACTTACTTCTCTGATGATTCCCAATGATGAAAGAGATAGTTTATTATATGTCCAAATGCTTCTTTCCATTCATTTTCGTTTAATTTTTTTACAATAGCAATATAAACTTTTGTACCCGCTGAACGCAAATAATATTTCGTTAGACTAGTACATAAAGAAAGTAAAAAGTCATGAGATGTAATAATTTTAGTTTGATTACAAACTTCGCATATTTCTGCAAGTATATCATACTTTAATTCATTTTGCCAAGAAATTGTATTAACACAATGTTTAAACAAATATTCCAAATATCCATTATACTTTTTTTCCATAATTTTCAGATACATATTAAAAATAAGCATTGAATTTTGCTTACTTATATCATTAATAGCATTACACCAATTTGAAAAAATAATTGTTTCAAGTTTTTGCTCTAATTCTGAATATGTACTCCAAAAATTTGTATTCATGGTTCTTTGCAAGCACATATATAATATTTTATATGCAAAATAAGAATGTTTAGTATATTTTATACAATGTTCGAATATAAGATTAAAAATAAGTAAACAAATATCATCAAAATATATTTCGTTACGATTAACTTGTAAATATCCATAAGCGCAAATCAATTTAAACAGTTCTAATTCAGTGATATCATATTTTTTACCGAAAATATGTACTTCATTATGTTTAGAATCTAAAAGATTTATAAAAATTTCTTTTAAAAGAACCAAAGAAGATTGCATTGATAATAAAGCAAAAAATGTGTGAGAAGCCAATAGAATTTTTTCTCTTTTTGTTTCTATATTTGGAATAAAAATTTCTATGATATATATAAGGACTGGTTGCCATTGTTTCAAATATTCATCATCCCAGGATTTTGTGCATGATGAAGTAAAGTTTATCAATTTCTAAAAAAAAAAACAATAAATTCAAAATAATGCTTCATGCTTAGAATAATATAAATATAATAGATGTTAATTAAGATAAGAGCTAAACTAATGAAATCAAAAAATACTAACTCTGAAAATAGTGGTATCTTCTGTACATGTTTTCAATTCTTTGATTACATAATTCAATTCCATATTTTTTGTACACATTTTGTTATTGTTATATATAATTCAGAAAAAGAAGATTCAATTTAATAATTGTACATATTATATATATACATTTATATTTGTTCCCTATTCATATGAATTTGTATTTGTTGTTTGAAAATTAAAAACTGCTTTTGAAGTTTGTGCAGTTGCATCTGTTTTGTTTCCATCAAGGCTGCATGTCCTGCAATTAATATGTAATAATGTCATTTTTTAAAGTTTTTTTTCTAAGTATCAAAAAATTAAATTTAAAAATAAAAATTAATAATTAATTCCTGCAAAGCCATAAAACGTTTAAAAATTCAAAAGATAATTAATTATTGATTTAAACAAGCATATTATTCAACAGCCATAAAATTTGCTTTTGCATAAAAATCTATATAGCAAAATGATTGAAAAGAAAAAACAAATCATTTTTTTTTAATATAATGGATTAAGGTTTATCACATCATATAAAAAGACAATATTATATTACTTGTAGTTTTTTTATTATAAGTAATAAAAATAAGAAAACTTAATTCAGAAACAGTTCAATAACTATTAGATGAATTATAATAAATTATAAATTACAATAGCTAAATTAGTTTATATTATTTATATTATATTTTATCTTGTATTTTGTTCTTCAGGAACATACCCCCCTTGTTCTAGCTGCTCTTTGAATTTCAAGTACTCTCTCTTACGATCAAAGTGTTTTACCTAGTAAAGTAATAAAAAAAAAAATTTAATGAAAGAAAGATAAATTGATAAAATTATTTTTTACTCTTATATTATTAATGAACTGAAAGCTATAATATTGTTGGCTTTTAATTATTAAAATAATATTGATTTATAGTACATAACTTACCCATAATGCAGGACAGAATTTTTCATACTGATCTCTAAATTTCTTACAATCTATTTCTGTTTTACCATCATCAAGACACTTCCAATATTCATCTCTATGATTCCAACATTTTGTACGATCTTCTTTACTTGGAAAAGACATCCTAAAATAATTGAATATTTAATTATTATATCTATAATTAATTAAATTATTTAATTTCTTATTTTTATTTTTTTTATTAAGTATTAGGTATTAAGTATTATTATATATATTTAAATTTCAAAACTTCGTAAATAAATTTTTATTTAGCGAAACTGGAAATTAGAATATTGAAAATAAAAAAATGTAAGTTACACTTACCTATATTAAATGTTTTGAAAGTTTTAAATAAATCGATGAAAATTTTCACTTATAAATTCTAAATATATCATAAACTTATTTTAAGATAATCTAGAATCAAAAATAACAATCTTAAAATAAAATAAAATGATTATATAAGCTTACTTACTACACTTAAAGTATAATTTTGTGCATATGTATAATTCATGTGTTAAAAATCATAGAAAAAATTCTGTTTATACATTCATAAATTTAATATTTTTAGGAATATAATTTAACAATTTTTTAATTTATTAAATCCGAAATACTTTAGATTATTTAGAAAAAATAAAATTTAATTTTATTATTATATATTTTAAAAATTTTTTAGTATGATAAAATACATAGAAAAAATAAAATAAATAAATTGAAATTTATAATTTATATATTATTGTTTTTATATAAATTATAAAATTATTTTGTTCTTATTCTAATAAAAAGTCTATAAAACTATTGAAACTAACCTGTCTATTAGTTTTCTTGTGATAAACTAACAAATATTCTACATGAAATTATTTAAATTTTTATTCACGATATTTTCTTTTTTTACTTTTTAATTAAAAATATATATACATACATTTTATTCTTTACTTTATAATGAAACATATTATGAAATTTTCACTATCAGTTATAATATTCTTGTAAGCATGATTTTATTACCTTAGTTTTGTGTACTCAAAAAGAAAAGTTTATTATTTAAATTATAATAAAAAAACTTAATTTTTATTGAAATATCATACAAATTAAGCACATGTAAGTAAATACTTTTATAATATTTTATATTTAATATTCTCACATGTACACATTAAATAAAATAGAATCAGTGTTGCCAATCTGTAAATTAATTCATGGTTTTTAAGAATATGATTTCTTTCTAACTAAATTTTTTTATCAAGTGATAATAAATTAGTAATTATAATAAAATTAATAACTGAATTACTAAATTTATATAATACTTAGATGTATGTATCATTCTTATTTTATTGTATACAAATTTATTAATATATATTATAATTAGCAACAATTAAAAATTTCAAATTTATAATGCAACATTCAATCTAATAAGTAAGGATGAGGCATTCAACATTATTAATTCAAATGTATTTTTCATATAATAAAAACATGTCAAATTTTTGTATATAATTTTAGAAATAACTGCTTAGTAACTAATATTGTTAATTGCATCATCCTATATATAATAGAAAATTATTTTCTATGTAAGATAAATTATAACTAAAACTATAACAAGGCATGTAAATAACATTCCACCAACTAAAATAAATCCATCTTGCCTTGCTCTTTTTTCTATTAGTCTCATTGTAGTTTGTGAAAGTCCTAATGTATTTCCAATATCTATTAATCTTTTATGAGCCCCTTTTAAAGTTATTCTTTGTGATTTCAAACTATCTAAAATACTACTTCCACTTTGAAGAAGATCATCTACACCATAAATTGCATTTTTCAAACTATAATTATGTTGTACATTATGATCTATCATAATATCAACATGATCATTTGTAGTAAATGTTCTAGATAATAATGCTTCTCTTTCAGCTTCTTCTCTTTGTTTTTTAATAATTTTATTTCTCCAAGAATTTAAAGCAGCTGTGAGATGACGGCTATCATATTTTAATTGATCTACACGCATCTTAGCATTTTGCCTTTGAAATATAGGACCCTTGAGACATAACACATCTAATTTTTCACAATTACTGAAAACATAAAATGATATATCATTTTGTTAAATGGATCTATAAATTATTTGTACAATTTTTATTTAAAAAAAATAAAAGTTTTTTTAAGTAACTACCTGTTGATGAGATTTATCTTTGATTCTATACTGTTTTCTATTTCTTTAACATCTAGGTTAAGCGTCTTTTTCTCAAGTTGTGAGAAAAGATGCTGAGTTTCCTGTACTAATTTGTTTGTTTGATGATATAATGGTTCCATATTTATTAATAAATAATTTCATTCGTCTTTTAACATTCGCGTAAGTTATGACGTGTATGTATAAATATTGTCAGGTAAGATATCTGTAACAGTACTTATCAAAATCTATTCAATAATTTAATAATATAAAAAAAAAAAAATATCAAAAACTATGAAGAACATTACAATATATTAAAAAAATAATAAAGTTTGATAATATTTTTTATTTATATAATTATAGAAAAATATTAAATTTTCTTATTTCTAATCAAATGTGAAATAATATCTTCTGCTTGAATGAATGAAAACTACTGACATCTTTAGGTTTGAATCGTATGTAGGACATATTTTTGTAAGTGACATGAAATTTATATTTATAAATATAATTAAAAAATTAATTAATTTATTAAAGTTTTATGTGATTTTTATAATATATTATAATATATTATAATTTTTTTTAATTTACAGTGATTTACTTATAACATGATGTATATTGACTGAGAGTGGTAAATAAATAATATTTGTTACATTTAATTTCTTCAAAAAAGAAAACTATTGTTTTTATAAATGGATATCGGTGAATTATTGTCATACAAAGTACGTTTAACAAAACATTTATGATATGTTTCGAAATTGTTATTATCTAAAATTTTAACCTAAATATAAGAGTAAGATATTTTTTATTATATTTAATTTCTGTATTTGTTTTATATAGCCACCAAACACACCAAAGAGACCAATAGCAGGAGAAGAAGATGATGAAGATGAATGGGAAAATGCTAAGAAACCAAAAAGAGTAATTAAAACTCCATATCATGCACGTCAAAGGCAACCAAGAGAAATTGAAATGACCCCAGTTAGAAGCAATGAACCTCCTACACCTATCAGAGCTGCTTTACCTTCACCAGCAAATGATGTAGTTGAACCACAGCTTACAGAGAAAGAAAAACAAGATATTTTAAAATATGTAGAGACTGAAGCTCCAGAAATAGAAGCATTAGATGAAGCAACATTAAAGAGAATGGTTCTTTTATTTGAAAAAAGAGCACTTAGAAATCAAGAAATGAGAGTAAAATTTCCTGATCAACCAGAAAAGTATATTATTTTCAAATGATGTAGCATAAACATAAAAGATTAAATTAAAAATATGAAACTAAGAAATAATTTTAATTTTTTAGATTTATAGAATCAGAAGTGGAATTACATGAAACTCTTCAAGAAATTCATGTTGTTGCAACTAATCCAGACTTATATCCTTTGATGGTAGAATTAGGTGCTGTACCTTCATTACTTGAATTATTATCTCATGAAAATACAGACATAGCAGTTGGTGTAGTGGATCTTTTGCAAGAACTAACAGATGTAGATATTTTACACGAAAGCCAAGAAGGTGCTGATACATTGATTGATGCTTTATTGGAACAACAAGTTTGTGCTCTTCTTGTGCAAAATTTAGAAAGATTGGATGAATCAGTAAAGGAAGAAAGTGATGGAGTTTATAATACTTTAGGTATTATTACAAATTCTTAATATAAATTTATTCTTCTATAATTTCTTCTATAATTCTTGTATATACAAAATATGTTGATTTTTTCAGCTATTTTTGAGAATTTATTAGAATTTAGACCAGAATTATGTGCGGATGCAGGAAAACAAGGATTAATGCAATGGCTTCTAAGAAGAATTAAAGCAAAAACACCATTTGATGCAAATAAACTTTATGCTAGTGAACTTTTATCTATTCTATTGCAAAATACGCCAGAAAATAGATTACTTCTTGGTGAACTTGATGGAATTGATGTATTATTACAACAATTAGCAGTATGTAATTTAAAAACTATATATATATATATATATATATATATATATATAT